CCGAGGCAGAGTTGCTCTGCCCCGGGCTTCCTGGAATCAGCTGCTGATCAGTTTCAGCAGCAGCTGACTTGGGGATGCCTGGGGTTCTTAAGTTGAGTCTGCATGTAAGTCGGAACTGGTGTCCAGATTCAGCCGCTGTTGAAACTGATCAGTTTCAGCAGTGGCTGAATCTCGATGCCCGTTCCAACTTACATACAGATTCAACTTAAGAACAAACCTACAGTCCCTATCTTGTACGTAACCCGGGGACTGCCTGTACTATCATTTGGTGCTATATTAAACTCCATATAACATCAGTAGGGTTAGAAACTTTAGATCCACAGCAAAGACCTTTACGACTTGAGCTAACATAGAAATTGGCAGTAATAAAAAGCTGTTATCTCTGAGGACCAGTCAACATGAGAAGGATGAGATATACATTTTACCACAATATAATATTGTATTGTCCTCAGGAATGCTGCTGCGATTAGTCAACACAGCATATAGACATGCATTTTTGCTCTTTTGATATAGCCGATCCTTTGCTAGTCTAGAAAAGGTATTATTGATATTTTCAGAATACAGCTTCTTGCCCACTCAATCTTGGAATCAGGAAATTCCTGGTGCACTGCTTAAACCTAATACTTAGCTTCTTCATCTTTCAACCTTTTCTTTCTCCTTAATCTCCATTCTGTAGCAAATACAATTAAGTACCTGATTCCTTTAGTGCTGCTGCTGTAAGCACTGGTACACATCACCTGGAAAGGGCTACTGTGGAGTGACAAGGCCTGCTGGCCAGGACAGTAGAAGAAGTTTCAGTATACTTCTATAGGGTGAAATTGGTTAAAGAACTATGTGGTCTGGTTCAAACAAGAATTCAGCGATGTTCACAGCTCTGAGCTTTACATTTCTCTACAACATCTAATGTCACTCATTAGCCTTTAAACTCAACTAAACATTTCTGAAAGGCTTTTGACATAATTTTTCAACACTTCATTGGATTCAGCTAAAATTAATGCAAAGCTAACCAACTATGAGCCAGACCTGCAACTCCAGTTGGAGCTAATAGTAGCTCCAGGTTCTCAGTGCATCTAAAAATCAAGCCTATTGCTAATTTTAGTATTAGATGCCTATTCTATGGCACTAGACTATCATATAATCACAACTCCTATATTTGAATGAGTCAGATATTATATATAAAAGATGTTCCTTATCCATATGTAAATATTTCATATACCTTCAGTTAAACACAAATCTGCTTTTCACTAGTGTTACCAGCTGAATAAAACTGAATCAAAATATTTGTTTTGTTCTTATTAACTTACATCTAACAGAGCTATCTAGTCCACTAGAGATACCAATCTATAACAGCACAACTCTAATCACTGCTGCATGTTAAAAATTAGTGAAAGAGCACTAATACTAGTCTGAAAGCTCCAGGGAGCATATCAGAAAAATCCAACATATTAATTGGTACTTTATAACTCTCTGTTTTGTACAATGGAGTCCATCAGGTAAATATATCTTCAAATTGGTGTGCAAAAATTCACAACCTCTTTTAAAGAATATAAATTATCTTTATTTTATCTTAGAAATACTTCAGCCTGTTAAAGATTGATTTACTCAGCAAGACTCCAAGCGCAACCCCCTTTATCAATGTTTTTAATAATAAGCGCTATTATAAATGTGGGATGCAAAGCAGTGTTGGGGTGGAGGCTGACAGCTCATAATTCCCCTACAGACAAAATAACTATGACACCCCCCCAGAAGGATTATGCCCCCAGTTTGAGAATCCCTGCTGTGGAAGATAACCTATCACTGAAATGGTAAGGTGTCTCTAAATGTATTTATCAAAAATACTGTACTGAAAGTACTATTTGCTTCCATCAGAATTCTCTAGGCAACAAATGCTCACCAAACACACTCTAATATCTCTTACATGTCTGACATTTGAACATGTTTTATTCTAGCATTTTCATCCCATATGTTATCATGTATTTCCTTATTACTCACCTCCAAAGTAAGAGCCATCTGTCAGCTTCATCTCCTTACTGGATTTAGTGATGACACCAGCAACCCCATGTTGAATGAAATACATCTTTTTACCCACAGCACCCTCTCGGATAATATAATCGCCAGGTTGGAACACTTCAAACCGAAGCTTGCTTAGCATGGCAGTCACAAAATTGGGGTCTGCATTAGCGAAAAGAGGCATTGTGGCAACCAGCTTGCGACAGTTGAAATTCACTATCTCCTAAATGGGAGGGAAACACAATGATAGTAATAGTCAGCAAATAGATGTAAAGGAAAGGAAAAAAAACAAAATGAGTGTATCCAATAGGACACAATTTTTTTTTGCAAGAGAAATTCCCTGTGAGCTTATTAGAAATAACTTTTTCATTTTTGCCTCATTTTCTCATCATTTTTATTTCTATTTGTACCCCCCACGACAAAAAAAACAAAACAAAACAAAACAAAACAAAAAAACCCCCACCCAGATCAAACTAACAAAAATTCCAAACAACCTGACAAACTCAATCTGCCAACTCTCTCTCGGGGATAAGGTATCTTTCGGAAAAGGCATTATTTTCCGAAAGATCCGTGTCTAGACTGGCGCTTTTTTCCGGCAAAGTTCTGTGCCAGAAAAAAGCGACAGCCATTTTTATGCTAATGAAGCGGGGGAGATTTAAATCCCCGCTTCATTTGCAATCGTGATATGTCTAATTTGCATCCCTTTTATGAAAAAGGGATGCAGTCTAGACACAACCATTATGGACTTCATCTAAAGCTCACTGAAGTCAACAAAAAGATTCCTTTGTATTAGGAATGGTCAGAGCTGAACTTATCATAACTAAACACAGTCATAGGCAATAATCCTGCAAAGAAATCCCTACAAGTGGACCTTTGTATGCACAAATTATCCTATTGACTTCATGGGACTCCTTGAAGGTTTTAATGTCCCAAGCTAGCAAACCAATATTTATTATCAAGACCACTGGAAGGAAAACACTACAAGATTAAATCTGCTACTTGTTTTAAATACAAATATGTGCCATTCTTGGAAGTGAGATAGAAGACAAATCTTTCAGGCCCTAATTTATCTTAGAAAAACTCCCTTGTAAAGTATATTCAATTCCATGCATACCATTTAAAAGCTACTACTCTAAAGAATGTTTCAAAGATTGATTGGTATTGGGCATAAAGATGGATTTTGACAGGAGACAACCCACAGAGTACAGTTAGTAACCAGTTATTAAAGGTACAACAAAAGGAAATATATGACATCTGTATATAAATGCACAATCACATTAAAACACAAAAACATGCAGTGTATTACTTATGTCATTCTAATTGCGTGAGGATGTGAATAGCTGTGCTTTTTCAGGATACTTCAGAAATCCCAAAATAGTGTTTTCCATGTCTCGGCAGTGCACTCATTATTTCAAAATAGCTTTCAAAATAACGAGTGTGCTATTCCGACATCCCTGTAAACCTCATTCCATGAGGATTAAGGAATGTTTCAGAATAGCGCTCTAGTTCGAAATATGGTGCTGTCTACACAGCACTTATTTCAAGATAAATTGCTATTCTGAAATGGAATGAGGTTTTAGAGACATCAAAATAGTGAACCCGTTATATTTTGAAATAGTGGGCATACTCAAAAGATGCAGAATAGCTATTTTAGGATACCTCAGGTATCCCAAAATAGTGCTGCAATATAGACGAAGCCTTAGAAAGCTAAATTTCACTTCAGTAACAGCAGTCTCTCAGGCATTCACTACAGAAAGTATAAGAGATTTTAGGTAATGCAGCAAATACTGATTTAATGTCAACTATCAAGATTTTAAGGGTGACCACTAGATGGCGAAATACACAAAGTTTGCCTTAATATTTACCAGATTCTTGCTGACCAAGGAAGCACAGGTATGGCACAAGAAGGAAGAGAGAAAATCCAAACTAAAGAATGGAGTCTCCAAAATGAAAAAACCCCAATAACAAAAACAAAAAAACAAAAAACAAAATGACCACCGTGGAAGAAAAGCATAAGGCAAAACCAGTATCCTAGTGGCAGGAAGTTATTATTCTCACCAATTTCCTGTTTCCCACTAAAAAGGCCTCAGCAAATATATTTCTTTCTCCTGCTACAGGACAGAGTTATGACATTTTAAGACACTCCCTCAAGGGAATGTCACTATGTAATAACAAGGTGAAAACAGCAGGGTCTCTAAGGACATTGTCTCTTCAAAAGAACTATAGTCAGTCCCTTTGACCTTGGTCTCAACAATTCAGTAGCTCTATATTTAGCTTTGTACTTTGTGCCATTCTTTCACCACTTCCTTCTTTTGGTGAGGGGGAAACAGAAATTACACAATAACATGAAGAATGCATGGATCCTGTAGCTTTGGCTCAGGAAGAGAGGGTTACTCTCCCTTTGCAGTAACTGACATTCTGCAGTCAGAACACCTTAGGTGTTTTGGTGCCACAGCGCGCCTGGCCAGAAGATTTCACTAGCAGTGGCTTTGACAGCTAGCTTGCAGATGCGCAGATGTGCTACATGCGTTAGGTGGTTAATGCACAAAAAGTATGAAAAGTATGAAAATAATACCAAAGTAGAGGGGAGGAAAGGTGGGTGGTGGAGCACCCTCAGGGACATCCATCTCAAAGAACGTCAGTTACTGAAGAGGGTGAGTAACCCTCTCTTCTTTTTGAGGAGTCACCTTAGGTGAAAACAGTTTATCCACTGGGGGTGGGAGCTTCTGATAGTATAGTGTCTTTTTGGACCATGATAAAGATTGTATGTTCAAATGCAGTTTCTCTGTACATGTAGGAGCCTAGAGCACAGTGAGCAGTGAATGTAGGAGTAGACAACCAGGTGGCTGATTTTCATTTATCGGACAGGGAGATGCCCTGTACATAGGCTGTTGATGCTGCCACGGTCCTGGTCGAATGTGCACAAAGCTGTGCAGGTGGCTCTTTACGAAAGGTTGAATATGCCATTCTTATACATTCAACTATCCATTTTGAGCTCCTCTGGGAGGAGATGTGGAGTCCCTTGAATCATTCGGTGATTGATATGAATAAACTATTGGTTTTCCAAATTTGCTTGGTTCTTTTCAGGTAGAATGCAATGGCCCTCCATAAATCAAGTGTGCGGTGTGTCGCCTCCATCTGGTTGTTGTGCAGTTTGGGAAAAAAGATTGGTAAGTTAATAGGTTCATTACAGTGGAAAGGAAAGGAAAGGGCACCTTTGGCAGGAACGTAGGGTGAGGTCAGAGGATGATCTTGTCCTTATGGAAGGTGGTGAAAAGTGGGTCTGCCATGAGAGCCACAATTTCACTGACTCTCCTGGCAGATGTTATTGCCACTAGAAGAGCCATCCATCGTGGAAAGATGAAGCCTGGAGCAGGTCGCCAAAGGCTCAAACGGTTTACGAGTTAAGGCCCTCAGAACCAAATTGAGATCCCAGGCTGTAGCTGAGGAAAAATCTGCAGAGCACACTGTGGGTTCTGACCGATGCCAGTGGTGGCAGAGAAAAAACCGAGGAGACTGTATCTCGTGCATGCGCATTAGCCACCTAGCACGTGTAGTGCTTCTGAGCATATGCAAGATAGCTGTCAAAGCCATTGCTTGTAAAATCTTCCAGCCAAGTGCACTGCGATGCCAGAACACCTACAGTGGAGCACTCTCTCGAATAAGAAGTGTTGCATTAGAGACAGTGAGTGAAGAATAAGACATGCATCAACTTATGCAAGAGATAAAGTTGAAAAAAAGTAAGAGAAATGGATTGAATGGGTGCAAAAAGGCAGGTGGTGAAATCCTGACAACTGAAATCAGTGATAAACCTCTGATAGACTGTTTCTCTGGGAAGGGAGCCACATGACATCTCCATTCACAGTTGAGGGTGGACCTATGACTCATGTTACAAGTGTGCCTGGGACACCAGATTGCCTTAATTTGTCTGAAGGCAGGGAGAAGACAATAACTGGCAGTTTGTCTTGCTGGTAGCTTGTTAGCCTGCCCCCAATGACATCAACCAGCCTCTCATCCAGTCATCTGACCCCAGCCTGTTTTCTGTTTTGGTAGCAACACTGATCTCTTATATAAATGCAGGGAGGAAGAGAAAGGAAGCCACCACAGAAAGTGGGGTCGACTTTGTAAGAGATCTAGAGGAGGTGTGGGAATTGGAAGACAAGGATATTGAGAAGATGAGAGAGGGCTGGCAGACAGGAAGGGAAGGGAAAGAAATGGACAGAATAGCAAGGAGAAAGAACAAATACGAAACTCAGAGAGAGAGAGAAATAAGGGATGAGAAATGGGACAGAAAGAAGGAGAAAGTCAGAAAGAAGAAGGGTTAAGAGGAGAGCGTACAGGAGAGAAACAAAGGTATACCGTGAGAAAGAAACTGAAAAGTGAATTCTTCAGACAGACTCAGGAAAGAAGAAGGAAAACCTTGAAAAAAAGTAGGATGGGGTTGAAAAGAGAAAGAATTAATAAGAAATTACAGGGGGAAATGGGACAATAAGAATATAGAAAATGGGGTGGTGAGAAAGAGACAGTGGAAGTGTTGGGTGAAATATAGAAATGATTTCACAGCAAGACTAACGGATAAAGGTGGGAGCCCATCCAAAATATACAGAGCTTCCAACTCCACTTCAAGGCCTAATCCCCACTCTGGAACAATGAATGCAGAAGTGGGGGCCTGCAAAAGTACCCAAAACCTTATCTTTCCAGGCTTTGGTATAAAACTTCTCCCCAAAATCTTAAAAACCTAGATTTTGGGGATAAAAATCCACTGCTACCACCCAAGTAATGATAAGAAAACCAGGGAAGAGATCACTTGGGAAATCTTAGCCTTAAAGTAAAACCAGGACACAAAAAAATTAACCAATACCAGGTTAATAAAAAAAAGAGAGAAAGAACTTTTATTATCACCACAATACTCCTGTGACAAGCATAATCACTAGATAGAAAAGTCACCAATAAATATACCCATGGGGGACCCCAAGGGGCCAAAAGCTTAGGTAAAAAGGAGAGAAAAACCCATTTTTAAATGCACAGACATCAGATACCCAATCCCAAACCATAAAACAATAAAACGTAAGGGATTTACCTAAACTTTACCCTACTTACAGATAGTAAAGAGTCTTTTCTCAGAGAGAGAGAGAGAGAGAGAGAGAGACATGTCTGTCTCCCTCAGTATCTGGAGAGAAACTCCCAGAGACAAAGGAGGGGAAAACCAAAAATTCCTTTGTC